CGGCTGCTTTCATAGTCCGCCGGCCGGCTCGCGAGCGAGCGCCTGATCGCCCCTTGTTTACAACGGGCAGGCAAAAATAATTTAAAAAATTCAAACAATTACAAACTTCAAAAATATGAAAAACGTACCATTTGCAGAAACGACGGCAAGTAGATGAGAAATATGATCAGCTTGATTTTATTTATTGATGGTGTTTTGTGGACAACCACATAGTAACGAAATGAGAACGACAGCACTATACTGTAGAATGAATGCGAAAGCATGTGCAACATGATGCTATAGCTGAAAATATAAACGATTTCATTCATTTTGTTTCCGGAGCTGAATTTGAAACGAATCATTATTAGGATTGAGCTTGGTGTAGAGGAGGAGGCAAGTAGTTCAGCAAACGACCCTTTGCTCACGACCCACCACCATTTTCTCCCTACCACCCTCCCTTTCCTCACCCCATCCCTTTTACATTCACATTCGAAAAAGCAGTCATCGAACGACACAAAAGGATAGAAAGGTTAAGATATTTTGGCGATGATCATCACTGGTTTTGTATGCGCCCTGCTTTTCCCTCCCACTCATAATTGCAATGGTTGTTTTGAATGAGTATGCAAGAAACGTCATGCAGCATCAACGAAGATTTCATGATAACGGATGATAAGAAGTAATAAGAAAAGATAAGAAACATAAATATTCTTCCGGAAATGAAACCATACCTAACATAACAGAATCGGGGACCAATGTATTGACAGAGTCCTTCAGAAATATAAAACAACGACGTGCCTCCCGGTATGATCCTGGAAAAAAGACAATAATCCTTTGCTCACTTTTTTCAGAGGTCTCTAGGTAAGAGATTTTTGTTCAAACCACTTATGGCAACCCCGTTTAAGCTATGAATGCACTAAGACCACTCATCACCAGTACCCTTTAGAATTCTGTCGAACAACACCTCAAAATGAAAGGAGCATTGAGAATGTTACCACCCCAGTTGCGATGCTGAGACATAGCACAATTGAAAGATATGGTCCCGATTGGCAATGTTTGAGAACTGCTTTAAGGTCTTCGAGATATTTTTGCAAACGTTCCAGCTGTAGTCTTCCCAAACTGCCCCGTCAACAACTGCCTGTTATCCAAATTATTCGTGTTCTCGATAATTATTCGTATAAAAATATGCCGGTTGAAAAGAGGTAGAGCCTGGCGCTCGAGCTCCAATCACAGCGAGAGGGCGTGGTTCACTAAATGGGCGGGAAATTGTTATTGGCCTTTTCGGCTTGTTGTCATAGATACCTTGAGTAAGGGATAAATGGACTCCTGATTCGTGGAAATCTAATCCATCAAAGTGTCCAATTTCGCTCAAAAACTATCGGTGGGTGATGTTAAAATCTAACGGATACTTTTCAAAACTGAGGATAAAGCAGTATNAAACCTTAGGAGATACTTACCTTTGGCAGACAATTAATGACGTTAAGCAAGCGAAAAAATCGCAAACAGCAAAATTCAAAATCAGAAGTGAATATATACGAATCGTTTGTGGACTATGATATCGTGCCAGTACATACAGAATAGCGTTGAGCAGTAGACCTAGGATATTCGGCAGGACATGTAGTAGAAATGGAACTTTTTCATGCATATGTGGAAAAGTTCTAATGCCCTAAAAGAAGTAGTATCGATGTAGTTTCATTGCAGTCTGTTTATACTTAAAAAAGAGGTGAGTTCTTCGTACCACGGCTTCATAAAAAACCTGACGAAAAACAAAATTTGCTTGCAAAAATTTTTTTCGTTCGAAGAAATGAGATTCTATAATAGAAAAGGGCACAGTTTTTCTTCAGTACTACATTAGCAAAGGGGCATTGTAGCGGACGTAGATTTTTTCAATGAAAACTTGTGCTTTTGTATTTTAAAGTTAACAAAACGATTAGATTTGCAATATTCATGGAATGCCATAGTGCGAAATGTGTACAGACATTAAGTGTGATTATTTTGTGGAGTAGAAGCCCGTTATGTCTCAGAAGAAGTCAATCATATGATGCTTCACATTGCCCCTTTCACGTGAAGACTGAAGCCAAGCAAAGCCACGAGGAATTTCATAAAGCTGAACAGCCTTTATGAAGAGTGTGTCAACTGAAGCCACGATCGAGGCAGAGGATGCTTCAGAAAAAAGGAGACGTTGACTACGTCTAGTGAGAACAACTAGCAACCGTCTTTGTGAGAATAATGTTGAGCAAAAGAAGAACACGTTGTGTTATCTCAGTACTACAGTTGCCCACTTTCCTAACCCTTTTTTAGAAAGCACCATACTGTAATGCATGACCAGAAAAGCCCTAGCCGGATTCGACTTGTGCAAATTTTTAGTCTTCAATCAGCTCGAAAACGATCGATGTGCCAAAACTGTTTGTGATGGGAATTGAGGGACTGAATTTCATGGAAGGATTACCTCAGGCACATAAACATACTTATATTTTAGTTCTTCTACTTTACACTAGCCAACCAAGTTTACCTTACAGTTCACATGAAAAAAGATATAGAGAAGTGGTGTTGATGTGTACTGAGTAACCCGGAATTCTGAACATTCTGCTAACCTTATTCTTCTTCTGAATTTGGAAGGTTTCCATCTCACCACATCATGTTTTAGGCATTATAGTCGATAGTGAAGAATTCAGTGGAAAATTAGTATTCAGAGAGCCTACGAGAGGCAGCCTTCACAAGGGGCAGACCATGTTTGCACAGCTATTCCGAAAACGAAACGAATGCCTGCTGCAATTTCCTCATCTCTATTCTATGGCAAAGTTAGGAGAGGAATGAGGATATAGCCGACGCTGGGTCAATTTTCACTATCCCATCAAATCTAGTCTTTTGAGTAGTTCCAAGAGAACGGAAACTTAGATTAGCGCCTGCGAGGGGACCGATCTTTTTTAATTTAACCTATTGACTAGGTGTTTGTCGAATGCTGTCATTTCGCTGCAGTACGCAATGCGAAGTCTTAGGAGGATGGGAAATTCCGGGCAAAACTTCGGCCTCGGTAGGGACCTATTATTAAATGTTCCTGTTAACTGCACCTATTTCTCGGTGGTACGTCATGGGAGAGTCTCGAAAGGTTGTGAGCAAAACTGTGAGGTCGGACTCGATTTGAACCGTACGGGTGAGAATATCAGATAGGATAAATTTAATAAAAACTAAACAGTTGCAATAAAATGACGGAGGCAACAATACAGTGCAAAATTAGGGGTACCGGACGTGAGCGAACTGCATAAATCAAAAAGACGTACTCAAAGAATACGCTCAGATGAATCCATTGTTTTCCAGTCACTTTCACATTTCCACAGCTTTGACATAATCACACCTGTGCAACAGAAGTTGCTGCAAAAAACAGCACACCTCGTAATATCGTCAACAAAGTTTCGTGGCAGAACGAAAAGATTATTAAGTTACTAGTAAATACCAGCCACTGCTCTGTGACTATTTTAATCAGTAAAATATTCATATATGTGTATTTATCAGATGAATAGGCGAGGATGGTGTAGTGGCAAGTGGCGCTAGATCACTCGCAAATGATTCTGGGTCCGATTCCCGAAACGATAGCGATATTTCATAGCAATTTTCATTAAAACTTATGACATCTTCTACTTGATTTCAATGAGCAGATGAGTCTAAAGCAAAAAATCCAAAACCATTTCATATGTAGCAAAAATTCAGCTCCTAAAGCGAGGCTGAGGAGAAACAAAAAGCATGTTGAGAAGAAAAATAGATGACAGCTAGGTTGCCCATAGCCAAAACTTAATTAAAATGTTTGTTTTTCATGGAGATATCGTTCATGAGAAGAGGTGAGATTAGATCAGGGAGTTCGCGAAAATCTTTAGATCAACCGAAACTCCTAAAGGGTAATGACTGAAACAGGGGGTGGGGGAGGGAGAACGAAAAAACCCAGACAGCTTCATCGGAATTCAGGGAAGCGGTGCTTAGTTCCATATGAACATGAATAATTTCACCCTACAAGCACTATTCCCATAGAATTCTGAAAAGAAGTCTTGAATTATGCTATATAAAGGGGAATTTTTAATATTGCAATGAAGACATTACTAACAAAGCCAATCAAGTGGACAGAGCTTTGACATCAGAACTGGAAAAGATCTAAGGAGTCGCATGCAGTAGAACTTTCAAGTGCATGCCAGTACACCATCAATCAACAAACCCATCGAAACACCAAAAGTACGGATGTCTGACTTGTTAGGGAGAATTTTAATCAAAAAGAATGATATATGTAGTTGGTCACAAAGCTAGTGCTCATTCACGATTCAGTAGAATATGGCCACTAAAGTCTTAAGGCGGTGTTTTATGTTGATTAAGTCATAAGAACTGATCGAAAAACCTGGCACTATGGCTACTGACGTAGTTTGTCTAGTGCGTGGGCGAGGCATGTTCTACAAGAAGTGTGATGAACATTCGAAAAGTTAGTTTATCCGGTCAGTACTGTTGTAATTTTCCAGATTTTGAGATGGTAAAGTTCCCGCCGTGGTTTAAGTTTTCCAACACCAAGATTTTTGACATGAGTGTTCTCTTAAGAGGTCTTTACGGGTCGGGTGGAATTACTTTCCTCGTTCTAAGCCCTAATACCGTCAGAAAACCAAGGGTTCCTAACTGAAATCCCCTTTTCTAGACCGATGAGCAGAGAAAGGCAGAACTTATTCACATTTAGACGTGCATTTTTGAAAACTAGCAGAACTCCCATCTTTCACCTCCCTTAGGCACCCTTTAGACGCTTTGTAGCAACCCATAAACTTCAAATGGAGTTGTCAGTGCCATTATCTTTACTACTCAGTAAGTTTTTCTCAGGTTTAGTTGTTGTGAAGACAACGATAAAGTCTTCCCCAATATAGGAAGAGAGGAAGTATAGTGGCAAATGACGCTTCATCATAAGCGCATCGCCAGGAGATCCAATCCCGGTGCTCACACAGATCTACAAGACTTTCTATTCTTCCCTGGTGGGAGTAGTCAGATGAGGAACCAGAAGAAACCAAACTAGTCAGGATGAAATGGGCACTGCCTGATTTGTATGTAGTCGGCAAACGTCATTGTAGGGGCACGTACGATTCAATACGCCACTACAATTCTGAATGGGAGTCGAATGTCGGGGCACTTTCAGAATTGGATTGACCTACGACAAAAGACCCTACTCTATGTACCTCTACATAGAATACATGCCGATTAGGGTTCTACCACAAATGTATGAAAGGGGCATACGTGATCCAGTAAAAAACTAAGTTATTATGGTATCTCCTTACACTTGCGCTTGATTATGAATTCCATCGATCATTATAAATTATTATGGATATGATTTATAGCTACTACACTATGCTTTTTCTTCAAAATATCTTCGACTTTGAGAGGATACACTATGTAACTATGCCGATACATTTAACATAACCTCACTGCCCACTACTATCCAAAACATGCAAGTTTCAAGATTAGTGGATTGGTCTTCACATGGCTTACTGTAGCGTGGGTAAAATTGTTACGGTAACGTGCCTACTGTAATGATCTTTGCATTTTTTAGCTTCATAGAAGTAGTATGAAATATCCGAAGCAATTGGCTGCGATTCATAAAGCGAACATATGAATACTTCTACAGATTC